TCTCTCTCTCTCTCTCTCTCTCTCTCTCTCTCTCTATCTATCTATCTATCTATCTATCTATCTCTATCTATCTATCTATCTATCTATCTATCTATCTATCTGTGTGTGTGTGTGTGTGTGTGTGGGTGTTGAGTGCATCCCGCTTTGCTTACCATGTACTGTAGCGAGTTACCCCGATTGCATATCTGCTCCTCCATTTTGCAACTGCTAGAAACACCACAAGAAGAGTGTTTCTCTCTTGTCAAACCTGCTGTAAACATTGCCCAGGATGCGCCTTCCTTGGTTCAATCCCTCGTTGATCTATCTCAGGATGTCACACAAAGTTAGGACACATTTGATATTGATCTAATAGCACAAGGAATGTCCCAATTAGTTTTGGAAGCCTCACGTGTTTTCAGTGGTTGAGGAGAGCGCTGACATCGATTCCTCTTCTCCCCATGCCATCCCTGACACTTGCAATTTGGGTGATCACTGATCTTTGCAAAATCCTGAAGATGATACTGCTTATGTGCCTGCTCATCCCATGTCGTCAGGCCTTTTATTCTCGACCAACAAAGGCAAGGCATGGCTAGGCTGGACCTCCCAACAAGGTGGTAATTGGGGTACGCCTCTCAAGCAGGGTATTTGCATAGCATGATAGTGGAGGGTATCATGATAGTGGAGGGTTACAGAACCTTGGGGTTCTTTTTGCCTCCCAACAATCTTGTATGTTAATTTGTTAAGTCGTGTCCTCGGTGTTCAGCAGTGAAATTGCAGAAAGTTGTGCACTCGACTTCCAGAAAGTTTGCATTATGCATATGCTTGCAGTTTCTGTAAATGGAGACGAAGCTGGATACAGGTCCAGGTTATTCTGACTTATTCATTAGTGTTTTAATTGTGCACCAATCACGTTAAGCTACCGAATCAATCATGGAGCAATTTGATTTCGATGGAGTCTCATCATGCTATTTCTCTATGTTTCTTGCTTTGTGTTTTGACTTTATCTTTCATCATCAGGGGGGAGGGCGGGTGGTGGTGGAGATTCAGACGGCCTCGAACTTGTGGAGCTCCCAAGGATTGTGGCTCGGCAAAAGCTTGTGGCAGAGGTCATTCGGCTGGACATAGAGTCTGCAAACAATACTTGTGGGAGACGGATCACGCGGCAACAACACCTTCTTGACCAGAAGCGCAAAATTTATCTACCTCAACCTCATGCCAATAGGAAGAAAAGACACCGAAGCAAGTCCAAGAAGCGATTTAGAAAGGGGTGTGGGAGACCACGATCAACTGGTGCCTCTTTGAAACAGGCCCTACGCGACAATTTGACAGAGGCTGGTGCTACAGATGCAGCATCTTCTGTGACTGATGGACCAGGCACATCGACTGCTGGGAATCCTTTGGTGCTGGCGCATACATACACATCCCTAACGACAAGGTCTAGGACAAGAGATGCCTCCAAGACACAGGCAGAGGATGCAGGAGTCACAGTTGGCACCCAAGGAGATAAGGATTCTATTATAGGCAAGGGGGGCTCAGTGGCCATAAACAATGGTGTGAAAGAAGCGAAAGAGGGATCCGCTGTAAATGCAACGAAAGAGGGATCCGCTGTAAATGCAACAGCCCCACAGGATGAGTCAGCGCTGCCAGGAAGCATATATGGGGAGACTCTCTGCGTATTGTCCTGCAATAGGAAATCTACTACCGTACACGATGTGGCTCCAGGACCCACAATAGCTACATTGCGACAACAGGGCGATCAGGAAATACGAAGCATAGCAACAACAAGTGATACTTTTCTCATACCAAACTTGCAAAAGTCTCAGAGACCGGTGCTTCTTTCATCCGTTGAGAAGGAGATAAGCACTGGCCTTGTGACAGGGGATGTGAAGGCTGATATATTAATCCAAATCGGATCGACAACAGGAACGGAAAATGTTGTAAGTAGGATATCTGGAGTTGGGCCAACATCCGAAACCCCCGAATCGACGATTGAGCAAGAACCCAAAGAAGCAGAAGCGCCAGCGGTGGTTCCAGCCACGCAAAGGGAGCATGCATCCTCAGCTCCCAAAGTATCAGAGCTAGAATCTCATGACGTGTTGCGGAAAGACATCACCTGGCAAACAACAGCCCAAATGATTACGGAGGGGACACCAACAATAGCACAGAATAAGTCAAGGACTGATTTGACTTGGTCTGTAGTACAAACTCTACTCCGTTCAACTGCAGGAGAGGAGGTGCTGTTTCTGCCTGCGACAGCATCTGAAACAAACGCTGGCTTGGAAAAAGAAGTAACACCTGCTCAGGATGATGCATTTATGAAGGAGGGCATGCCAGGAGAACTTGAATCGCCTCCTGTGGTGGTCCGTACCGCCTGGTGCTCCCGATCAGGCAGTGTCCAAGTCAATGGTCATCATCAGCACGTCGAGGTCATGGGTGCAGAGAAACTGACTGGGAAATCTCCACATTCTGTTCATTGTTTGGGACCTTCAGAAAGTGCACGAAGTCCATCACTAGGATTAGAGGCAACCAACTCTCCGGCAGCATCAGTTCAACCTATGGCAGTACAAAACTCTGTTCTGTTACAAGATGCACAGCAGGTGATACAACCAGCCAGTGCGGTACAAGCACACCAGTTGCTTCACTCGACAAACCAGCTGCCATTTCTGGAAACTTCCAATACACAAACAGGTCCACTGGAGGTGTCAAACGTAGGAGTTGGGGGAGGGATCTTGAAGGACGTGACGGAAAATTTTGGTGATCCAGCCGTGGATGTCATAGTTTCTGGCTCACTGGCAGGAAGTCATGCAGCACCTTCACAAATGGTGGAAGGGTCTATGCCCATGCCAGATGCAGTTGTGATGAGCACTACAACCACGGGAGTCGAAACTCCAACTGAAATAAAGGCAAAGATGGAGGCTGCAGAGGTTGTTGCGTCACTTTGCCTTGCTGAGCTTCCACCTAAAGTAGAACTCCCTGATTCGGGAATGACTGGTGCTGGTATGCTCTCTCTCTCTCTCTCTCTCTCTCTCTCTCTCTCTCTCTCTCTCTCTCTCTCTCTCT